GTACCAGTGCATCACGTCGGTGCGATGAACAGACATCGGTGCTGTATCAAGTCCACTTAGGTCCATAAAGCTGTGAGCATCATTACTTCGGAAAACCAAGAAACTTTAGCGTGGTTCTCACCTTGTGCAGGTTCTACTTTGGAAAAAGGTTTTGTGTTTGTCGCTGCTGAGATTTCTGCAAAGTGAACAATTTTCATTTCTTGAGATCTTTGGAGCAACTTTGCTGCTGACTAGGTCAGCTAATCCGGTGCCCATTTGTCCGCTTTTCTTTACTTCTCTCATGCGTCTTCAGCGGGTCCGCACAATTTTGATGTGCTTGCTCCACAGTTATGCTGCACGCCGTCTTACACTTATATAGTAATCTTCTTCTGCCGGGTCCTCAGAAAGTTGTCGTCAAAAGGAGAATGACGTCCGTAGCCCCGTTCACTTCTAATCATTGAAAGCAGGGTCAAGCGAACGTCAACGAAGAAATTAACCCTACCCCCCCCCCTCCCTCCGCCAGAGGCCGAAGTCCATGAAACGACCCTCTTCAAAAGCCGAACTATGAAAAGGTTGTTTAATTCTCCCCCAAAACTGTTCATAAAAAAGCCCTGCTACCCCACCGTCCACCAAAAAATTTTTAAGAAGTACAAAAGTGAAAAAGTCAAAGAATAATCATTATTGATGAGTCCTACCAAACGAGCAAACGAGAAACAGACCAAAAAACGACAAACTAGTCACTAAATGGCATCTATGACAACATCTCATCTTTATTTATTTCCTTCGGAAGACTTATCAAGTTTTAATACTACACAGTGTATGGTTCTCAATTTACACGTACCCCTTTCAGTTGAAAGAAGCTTCCTAACTGCCTTGGCCAGCTGAGTGTTGTTTGAACTTTTGCGTCGTCCACGTTGAGGATTTTTGCAAAATTAACGAGGAAAATTCGTGATGAGTGCGAGTTTTTACGCTTTCCAAAGCCATAACTCCGTTCAAACTCATGCAATCTGGAAAGTAATACGTCATCATAAACTAGAAGATTTGCTCTTTCTAAGGCAACTAAAACTGCTAAATACGTTCACTATTTAAAAAATGGCCACGTTGAGGATTTTTGCCCGAGTACCGCCGAAAGGTACTTTTTCGCAGCATTGTCACATTTCAATCGACTGGCTGCTTTCAGGGGCCTTTTTTGCAAAAGTAGGAGCTGGTTCAGAATTCTCGTGCTTTTCTCTATCCGAGAGGTGTAAAATTGTTTATTTCAACTTTCAAAGGTTACATGCTTATGAATTTGACGCTGAAGACTGCATTTCTTGTTGAATGGTGTACTCCTCCCTGTAATTTCACACGAACCCTTTCAGAATCCTCTTGATTTTTCCTGAATTGAGATTCTTTCTCCAGAGAGCCGTAGTTGAAGCGCGCGCAACCAACTGGGCCCACTCTGGGATGCGCCGTGTGCTTCACATCCCTTCAGATTCGAGGACTCACTTGAAAAGATAAAATCCCTCTTGAAAAGTGTGCAAATTCGCGAATTCTCTAACTTTTGTGGTGATAAAACACGGAAGTAACTAAATTGCTGAGCGGACACTTCTGAATCAAGAAAATTTTCATGTGGGCGGAATAATATTGTTATTGGAAATCCTCTGGCCTGGCATCGACTCGATCCTTGATGTTTGTCTCCGACGGTGATGATCCTACTGCATCAATCCGGCCCGATCTCTTCCTCCCAGCGGGCCAATACGACCCCCCCCCCTGACGTGTCGAGGATTCCTCAACGCACGGTTGACCCTGATTGAAAGTTCACTACATTGAAAGCGTCGAAGCAACTGGCCAGCTGCGACAGTTTGCTGCTTGGAACATCCTTTGCCCTATACAATAATCCCATTCCGAACTGCCTGCACAGCATTCTCTCCGAATTTCAAGTCATAGAAGCAAACTTGCTTAAACTACTGCTTTGACTCTTCGATTTGTACCTTCGAAAGCAGATACCTAGCTCTTCTGGAAGAGAATGGCAGCAGTAGAAAGAACAACGAAATGGGCTTGCTGTGGATACACAACAAAACAGCAATCAAAATAAAATTTCCAGGAAAAATGTCTAATAAAGTATAACACATCGAAACCCGCATTGCATTTCTGGACAACCTAATAGTATGAGGATATTCAGAGGCGCGGACCGCAATGAGGCACTGCGCAACAAAGGCTTTAGAAGCTCCATCTAACACTATGCAAACCCTTCCTGAAACATTGCTGGAAACTGAATATCTTCTTACTCATATTCTTCTTCAACTTCTTGTTCTTTCTCTTCTTATCTTTCATCAATGTTTATATTATTGTTTTTGTGATATTTTGATATGTTGTACTAGCCTTATATCGATTGCTAAGATGAAGCAAACAAGCGGGCATGAGCAAGTAGTAAAAGAAACTCCTCCAACGAGCAGCTCACCATATTACCCTCGTTCAGATGGAAGAGGAATACTTAGTTATGACTTCCTTGATAGTTTTTTTCTCTATACAATCGAGCACCTCAGCGCACACAACATCGTATCTAATTCCACTATTTCCCATATTTTCATCGCGAGTTCCACCTTCAAAAAGGTAAAACGTAAAATTTTCAGGAAAAGAATGGGTTGACAGGACCGGACTGGTATGAAAATAACAAAAAAGAAGTTCATGATCTGTATAACAAGGTATTCCTTTTGATCAGCTTTTACCTCCGCTGATCTCATTTTAGCCGGTCGCACTGCAGTTACTAGTGAAACAATAAGCATATATCTTCATATCGCAGGCTTGACACAACAAGGCCCGCGCAACACAGCACCATTCTCCGGCCAAAGACATTTTGCCATCTCGCCCACTTCAACCATTTTATCTTCGCAAAGATTGCCGTTGTTGACGGGAGTTCCTCAGCAAATTATCCTCTAAATGTCCCTCTATAAGTAGACGCAGGCCCTCCTCCACTGCCCTCACCGTCTTCAGAATATGACGTCATCTGTCATCGTCGTCAAGCTCAAGGAGGCCTACCGTAACTGCTTCAGCCTGAAGCTCGACTCTATACCACGTATACAGTGCTGCGCATAATGACACTTTCACCTACAAATTTCCGAAAAACTTACATCTGAAGGTGTTTTCGAAAAGGCTTCAATGAAGAGGTCGTGAACCTATAAATGCTGCTCTTGAATAACATCATCAGAATTCCAGTTTGAGGGAGCAACAGTTTTTTATTCCATTTTTTTTTGAAAATTCTCGCTCTGCCTATGACGCAAAATCATAGTTCCACCACATGTTTCTCTGCTGCATTTTGCTTTTACCCAATCAAATTTTGAAATTATTATCCCTCAAGTTCCTTAGCTTATAGCAAAGGCGAAACCGCTGTCAGACTTCCCGTAAAGGGAAAATCCGCTGCAAAAGGAGGTGCAGGAAGGCAGTGTCAGTTCACGCCGAAAGTTGGTTGGGGTCGCCTCATAATGGGCAATTTCGGCGAAGGTCTCACAGGATACGATACTGTAAGGAACTGATTGTTTTCAGGCGGAGATAAGCCCCGCACCGTAGGAAAATAATGCAACTTTATCAGCCAGGTACGTAAAGCCTCAAGCCTTTTCGAAAACTTCTTCAGATGCAAGTTTTTGGGAAAGCTGAAGGGTAAAGTATCATTATGCGGCGCAGTGTAGCTTCACCGGATCGTAAACCCATTAAGAATCATTCACCGAATCCAGAGCAAACGTTGTCCGGAAATAATTTGGTATGAGTGACGCATTTAGTTCGACATTCGGTTATATAGGTTCTGAGCGGCTGCTGTGCCTCTAATCAGTAAAGCATAGCGACGGATATTGGCTTTTCGGGGTGTCCCATAAATACTGCACCACATTTTGAGCTCAAACCCTGTGGGCGTCTGCATATTATTCCAATGCTTTACATTCCATAACTCTTGTAGGTAAGCTTGCTACCACGGTTTACTTTTCGGCCTCCATCTGATGGAGCCCCTGAGCTTCTACTATATAAAGGGCCTAACCTCTCACACAGCTAGGTCGGACATCCGGTAATAATCATCGCATTTCTTTGGAATGCTTACCGTTCCGCAACGTGCCGCGCGCTGAAAAGACGATTTATTAATGGGTTCTTCGTTGCGGCCGTAAGTTCTGCCATCTTGGATCTCAGAAAGCATGAAAAAGTGGATCGACTGCAATACACGGTCTCCAGGAAGGTGATCAGAACGCTGAAGTTTCTAAACAAAATCATGTGCAGAGTGGCCATATACAACTGCTCGCAAGCAATTATATTAAGACGTAGCTAACGAATATTTCGGTGCACCATTTGTTAGCAATGTGTGTCGCTCTTCTGAAGAGATGTCTGCATTGTTCAGGACTTGTCTCATGGTGGTCTTCCCGATTTCACATCCTCAAACACTTTGCTCTCATATCCTTCGGTTTCAACCTGCTGGACCATCTTGTGCTCTTAGAGGTTCTGGAGAAGACAATAAAAGGAAGAGGAATATTCGTGAAAAATGCTTATTGGAAAGCGAATAAAACACGATATCGAGGCCTCGCTGACGAGAGTTCGAGTGCACCATCATTTACTAAAGTATACACCTAGTTTGAGGAGGAATTTTTAATACGAGGTAGCTTCTGCATACGAGGCGGGAATTGTTTAGGACCCATGTTATGCCCCTCTTCCCGATTTAATGTCCTCAAGCGAATGGCTCTCAAATCCCTTGATCCCTTTATTCCACAGGTTCCACTTGCCCCTTAACTATTTGTTCCCAAAACGCCCGATCATTCGTCTCATTCGTGAGTATGTCTGCTTGAGCGTGACAATGTCTGGAAATAGTAAGCAAGGGACTCGGAAAACGAAGAGCGCCGTCTCTCCAACCTTCTTTGCCCCAATATCCAAGCCCTCAGCAACTCAGCAATCAGTCGCCTATCTCATCGTGGTGGAGTGAAGCGTACCTCTGCCCATCTACAATGAGGCTCGCGAAAACAAAGGCACTGAGGTGCTGGGCTCTGAATTATCGTCAGGAACTTTATGAAATGCCATCTGAAAACAATAACAACAACGTAAACAGAGCCTACACCCACGCCTGGTTAGTACAAATTTCATAGCATTTGCTGATATGCCAATGAGTAAAAGGCAAAGTTCGGGCTCAGACCCACCTAATAAGCCCTTAAAGTGGCTAGAAGTGCATGGGACGCAACTGCAGGCGACTCGCCAAGTTCCCGCATCGAAATGCGTCACTAAGGCGCTAGGGGCCAAGGACTTTGACACGCTCCACCTGTTGCGACACGCTCCGCCCACCGCTCGATATCTTGTCTGCGTCGCAATGTTGATCTGCTATGCTCTCTCTTCTCGGACTTCTCTACCGCTCTCCGCGCTCACATTATCTCTCATCTCCCTGCCGGCCTTTTGAACTTCTCCGCAGCGTAGAGCAAAAGGCTCGTATTTCCTGTGTATTTCACGATTTTTTTCCTTTTTCTCCACTGGCGGTCCACCTCCCACCCCTACTTTCACATTTGAGTGGAATTACCTCATCAATTTAAGCCTGAATCTTGCCTTTAAGGTGTTTGCTTATAACGTTGGTGCTGGTGACAAGCACGCGCTACAGTTGAAGCAAGGCAAGTTGCTTCATACCATCTTGGAAACCTTTAAGTCGAAGAAAGAAGAGCATGAGAAGAAGGGCAAAATTGAAAAGCGGAAGCTAACAGTGTACTCAACGGTGATTTTGCGGTCCTACATATAAGCGTTCGCATGCCGAATCATATCTGTCATTATACTTTGATTTAAGCAAGATTGGATCCTGCAGGCCCTCCTCAATGGAATCGGGGCTGTGAAAGAGGCTATTGGTGATACCATTCCCAACTTCAACTCAGTGATAATGTTTGAAATGCGGGAACACAATAAGGTGTATACAATGCAGGTTCGTGATGAATTCTCATACTTCATACGAAGGCGCCATTTCTTATGCAACAGAAACCCATTATAGGTGTTCTACAAAGACGGCGAGGCAGATCAGGAGAAAGATATCACTAAGGCGGTACGCGGCTGTAGCAAATCACCGTGCCCCTACGAAGAATTCCTCAAATGTTGCAACGATTACAAAACAGATGATCCTAATGTACCCTGCAAACTCCCGTGAACCATCCATTCCTCAACACTGCAAATTTCCCAGTCCAGCTGATTTTCTATCTTTTTCACGTGTTCACATCGCCCTTTCATTAAATGAATCGATCCAATAATAAAAGAGTGCTGATGCAGATTGAAACAAACTAACAATCAGCCTGAATTTGAAAAACATGGACTAGTTTGATTGACCGAAAAATTACCGAGCAGATTTAGCAGTCGGAAAACGAAAACGCAAGATAGAAGATGAAGCGATTATGAGGTAACAATCATGTTGTCTTCATCAGTTGGCGACACGCTGTTGTGCACACATACCGGTTCTACTGCGATATACATACAACGGTGCTGCAAGTTCTCAAATTCAGCCCGATCCGCCACGAATATTTGACTTGCCTCTCCCAGCTTGATTCTATCCATTTTCTTCAGTCTCCGTGTCAACCGTCCACTTCTCGAACGAGGGGTGGCATATGGGGAGTTGAGCAAGGTTAACCTGTACATATTCGGTGGTTTTAACGGGACGTTCCCGAAATTAGTGTGAAATATTAGGTCGTCAAAAAGTATCTGCCGTCTTGTACCACGAGTCTTATCTTGCATTTTTTGAAAATTTCTTTGGCAGCCATTCAAACATTTTGGACGTCATCTTGTAGAGGAAGATAGCCCTTTCATATCCATGCGGAGGTTCGAGGTAATTCTGGAACTTTCTGTCGTT